CCTTCAGCACTTTCCCTTTATCTTTCCTACGCAACTAGTTGCTCCATTAAATACCGTCATACCAGCACCTTCAAAGGGGTCACCAATGGAAGCCCCTACACCACTAAGGGACCTCCATTGGACACCCCTTGAAGGTACATTCATGGAGTGTGAAGTAGATACCCTCTAGGTCTCCTGCCCCAAGGCTGAGACCATGTTCGACCGCACCCACACCATCGAAACGGAGGGGCGTTTGTTTTGTCCAGCCCACACGGGAGATGACCTCGTTTTTTCCGGAGATCTTCAGGTGTTCCAAACAAGGAAACGGTCCCTTTCAGCCGGGTGAGGCTTCGAGCTCGCTCGGCTAACCAGGTTGTACCAGGTTGTACCAGGTACCTGTGGCCAGGTTGGCCCGCTCCCTGCCTCCCATACGGCCAAGTGTCGTCTGGTTAAATGTTGCACCACCAGCCCGAAGATCAACAAGAGCACCCAGTCGAAACGCAGCAGAACCTGGCAAAAAGAACCAGGTTTAGCGGTTTAAGTGTTCATCATTGTGTTCCATGTCAAATCTGGTGAACCGCTACCTATTCTCCAACCAGCCCCAAATTCAACCCTGGTCAACTTGACAGTACTACACGGACCACGATGGATGTATGGACTAGACTAGACCTCCACTGAATGGTCAATGAAGGGATGATTGTTTGTGGATGTCGGGAAAGGGCACGCGTGAGCTGGGCGCGTCGGTGATTCAGTCGACTGAGTGGAGTGATGCTGCAGGGCCTGGCTGGATGGTTGCAGGTCTGGTCAATCTCCATAATTGCAGAATCGAACTGCTATATATATAATATATATATATACATACACATAGATGATCATATATGTACGTAAATATAACATAATCTGTCCGTAATATACAAACATTGTTGTTTGATAAGATCATTGAATTTTGTTGACAATGCATATTTGATTTGGCCCAAGGGACACGCGTCAGCTCTTCAGCATGTGGTCGCAACAGGGCCAGCAGCATCGGCAAAACGTGCCCGGCTGCAGGCGCAAAGAGTAAAATGAGCAAGGCTCTCAAGTGCAGTCGCAGTATCTTCTTTTTGGTTTGTTCCTACTAGAAGACCCTCTTGTATATTCTACTATATACGCTATGACTCCATATTTGTCCTCCAAAAATCACCTCCATGAAAGCCTCTAGTGCTTTTTAGGGGACCCCCAAAATTTGCCTGGGACTTCTGTTTGGGAGCCAAAGACTTCCAGTCTGACTCTTCCGAAAGAGTCTGAGGTGCCTAGCTGGGCCTTGCTGGACCGAAAGCCGGAGTCTCCAATGAGTAGCTTGACTCAACTGGGCCAGCGGCCAATGGAGTCAATGCTAGGTCGAAGTGCCTTCACACGTTGAAACAATCTAAACTCCCAGGGATATCACGACTAAGAAGTGGTTGGGATGTGGACACAAGAGGAGGCCTACCTTCGTTTTCTGTGGAAGCCATTTTTGTCTTGGGCTCTCGTGTCTGACATGAACAATCGTGTGGCCCTCTTGGCTGCGAGAATCTGCTAAGGCAAGAAATCCTGCGGTGCGACACCAGAACCCCCAGGCCACTCTGGCCATCTTCAAGCTCATACAAAGATACCCTGACTAAAAGGAACAAAAATGTGTTAGACCCAACATCCCTTCGAAGATTTATACACTGGACTGCACTGCATATTTCATAGCAACTGCCTGGACCATTGTGAAGCAAATAAATGCAAACTAGCAGCTCAATGGCAAACGCACGTGGGACACCCCGACAGGAGATAAGAAAGGCTTGCATGCAACACCCGGATGTTGCTGAGCAAATGTCTTCGATAGGACACTGCAACATCTGCTGATCACCTGAAATCCAGCAACCTGTAGCAGCTAGGCTATGCTGCTATAATGTTGTGCCTTACAAGGAATCACCTGTGTCAGTCAGAATGACCTGCGCAATTGCCAATTTGGAATCGCAGCTGGCTGACCATAAGCTCCAGAAGCATGTGAGCCCCAGCTGGCTAGCTCCTTTCTGCAGGCGAACTTTTCGGTTCCTGCTGGTCTGTGTCATGAGGAAGTCCAGCCGAACATGGATTTGCTGAACACAGGAGCACCACATGGCAAAAAATCGATCGCAAAGGGATGTTGCTTCCATCTTTTGGATTACCTGATATGTCCTGTGTGGATTTTGCAAATCCAAGTTCCACATCTTTGGCCTGACATCTCTGACCTACGCTGTTTGCTGCTTCTGTTGCGCAGCTTGTGCAGCATCTGAGGCGTCTCTGGCACTGCGTCTTTCATGCGCAGAGTGTGCAGTGGGGGATTGGTCTCTAGGGCTGTTCTGGCTAAGAAAGGTCCTTGCCCTAGCCAAACGAAGGCTTTTCTTCACATTCAACAAATATCTCGTAATATACCAGCACCTTCATGTCGGGGTCACCTGGCTGGTTTCGCCCCAGCCCACCACTGTTTGGGACCTCCAGCCACACCCCGAAAGAAGGTCCAGGTATATATATATATATATCACCACGGGAGATTGAATTCTTATTTTTTTTGAGAGCAAAACAATATGACTTATGCACATACTATATAATATATGGTCAACGACACTTCGGAGAGTCCCTGGCCACTGGACAAGACACGTCACAGTGGATCTGAATCCATGTGATGGCAGCTGATGTTTTTCATACCACTCATAGGGTTGTGGTGGCAGCATATCCATAGCATTCCTTCTTGCACTAGCTTCCTGGTTCCAGACATGTTTTTGCTACGCCAGCTTTTTGTGTGGACTTCAAAGAGGGACGAAAGCTTAAAATAAAGCTGTCAAAGAAGAGGTACAACATGTGCAATCAGTTTTCCTGAGAAGCAACAATGGGTAGAGAAACCCTGCACAGGGGAAACACAAAGACACTACACTAAATTGAGAGAAACAATGAGAAACACGTCAAACGCACGACCGCACACGAAACATAGGGCACCAGCGTTCCGCGTTCCAAGCTTTTGGACGCAAAGCCTCCAAGGCGTCAAGCCCCCAACAAGTAGGACGAGTAGGACGCTGTAGGACGATGCGAGATGAGAGCCCGACGATACGACATGGGATCGTCTCCCCCAGCGATGCTTAAACATGGCCGAACGTGGTGACGCTCGTGGTCCGAGTCTTTTGTGATGTTTTTTGTGGGAAAGCGTCATTGGACCACAGGCAAAGGATGCCAAAGGTAAGAAACACATCGACTCACAATGCAAAACGAGTACTTCTATACTTGTCATGAATTTGATTTGTCCTTACCCCTCTACTGCCAGCGACAGCCTGAGAATTCATCGGTGCTTGTTTGATCTTGTTTGACCAGGGAGAAGGGTTGACCAAAGAATCCGACGGATGTTGGGCGTGCTTTCCCAGCTTCCTTTGAGTAACTTGACTGATATGCTTTTGCGACACTCTCGCTCAGTTGAGACGCAACCAACCTTTTGCAATTTTTGATGGCGTTTGAACACGACTGCAACCAAATGTTTGGTGACCTCATCGCAAGCATGAAGAAAAACACAGGGGCAACCGACCCACGTCTCTCGATTTGACTTCAAACCGGACATCGTGTTCATCTGGAAGACTGCTCCGGGCCGTCTTGGGTTGATATCGCCACACAACCGTCCACCACAAAGCAGCGCCCGCACAGGTTGGGTCATAATGTTCATACTCGAAATCAAACGCCCCCCAAATCCGCCTAATTAAACAATCACTCAAGAAAAGGTTTAGCGGCTACCAGTCTAGCATCTACCCTTCATATCCAATTTATCTAAGGCATTTCTTCCACACAATCATACCCAAACACTCCATCTGGGATAGAAATAGTTGACCCAGCTCCTGGTCACTACGAGAAGCCACCCAAGGCGCCCGGTTTCGCGCGCGGCTTCACTACGTCTGCTCCGGAGAAATCGCCTGTGGAGTTGCCACAACTCCACTGGAGGCACATGGTCCGCACCCAAAGGTGTACGAGGAATATAGAGATGCTTAAAAATGTATGTGTCTTTCTTTCGACACCACTCTTTAGTCTGTTAGCATGGCAAACTTGCATCTTTATGTCAGTTTGTTTTCCATCAGTGTCCAGTGACACAAATGATTCCTTCGATGAACCGGCCAAAACTATAGGGACGGTCTGATCCGTCGGATCCACCTAAAGGGCTTCTCCAAGGAGCGTCGGACTACCCCACACGGATCCGGCCGTTCGGCTTCCAAACAGGGCACCCCGACTGGAGGGTCCTGGTACTAGGGTTTCTACTAGGGCTTCTACTAAGTAGGGCTTCTGTGGACCTGTTTGAGACATGTGCCAAGGAGGCCAGACCAACCTGCCTGAACAAGCTGCGTCCGACCCGGCAGCGTTCGCCTGACCGCCCCGGCCACCGGGCCTGACCTGCCGCGCAGGAGCTCCACGCCGCCAAGGCCAAGCCCCACAGCCTAGGACACGGCAGGTGTGGGGGTGTCTTGACAGTGAGTCTTACTGCATGGAGAAGACTGACCGTGTACAGGTGGAAGGTAGGTTCAGATAGTAAGCTACTAGCTGTCTTATGGATCAAAAAAAAGAAGTGAGTAGCTACTAGCTGTTCCGATATGAAGCGGTGGTCCATAGGGATATGTCCATAAAGGGATGTGTTGTTCGCTTCCATGAGGCGGCACCAGCTGCACTGTTGCTTGGTGAAGTGTTTCGCGCAGTGTGTCGCAGTATGTCGCGTCTGGGCAACTGGGTCATTCCCAAAATTTTCCCACTTGATGCAGTAAAACAAACGTACTATAATGTACTATATAAACATATATTCCCAAACATTCCATGGGACTGCCAGTCCGGACTGCCGATCAATTGGGGTGACTGGGGGTCAATGTAGGCATATATGGCAGTCCCAGGGAGTGTCTGGGCATTGATCATTTTCCATCAATGATCATCGCGAAGTAGGAGAACCCCCCAATCCTTCATTCATCTTCATTCTATATTCTACAAACGCCGCCCCTCGCCCCTCAATTCACAGGTTTGATTTCAACGCTCTCGGTTCCCACCTCCAAATCGGTTCGGGCCACCACCCTTGGACTTCGAGTCACCTTCGAGCCTCCTTGAGATCTTTTGGCAACATCAACTCCACTGCCTTCAATTTCCTGCGCTCTGATTGAACGGGACAGCTGATGTCTTTGTAAACTAATATATGGAATCCAAATAAACCCATAATTATGGAATGAATATCAATTCATGGAAAATTGCAGAGATCCTCCCGGTGGAACAGCATGTAATTATATCCAAACCAACATTAGTGTGTCACTCGAGTGTGGCATCCAAAGAGCATGCGGAAACATGGGGAGGCACCGAACGCTACGCCGCTAGGCTCCTGGTGAAGCCATCACCGAAGCAGCCATGCACGTTGCAGTGCAGCTGATCAGTGAATTCCTTGGCTAAATGGATCTGTGACAGTGGAGAAGATTCGTCTTCAACGTGTGTTTCTGTTCTTTGCAGCACAAACTCAATATACGCGATGGTAGAAGGCAAAGGAATAAATCTCTATTATGCTCGAAGGTTGCGCTACTGCTAAGTAAGTCATGGTCATTTTCCAAACATCTTCATGTCAATGTCTTTGGCCAGGAACCAGCACATTTAGGACTTAACCGGGAGTACATGCCAGGGCCCACAGGATTCAAGATAGGTGACTGGCTTGCTTCGTTGATAAGGTCGGGCCATGCACTTCTCTGTTCCAAGAGGCTTTCGCTCAAAACGCCGATAACGTCTGCAAGTTACATCAAACTTACAATTTCCAACATCTAATTCAATTAGTAATTGTTTCTATTTGTATGTTGCTTGCATGTTTTCCCAGCGTTGATTTAGATACTATAATAGTAATAATATGTAATACTTACCCTACTTATATATGCTGTAAAGTTCCTCAAGTTCACTTTAAGTTCTATACATCTCCAGTAAAATTCCACTAGAGTAGCCTTCGGAAAGCACCCTCACCCTCTTTGGATCCTCGACATCACTCCTCACCATGCTCCCAACGGCCCGGTGAACGCGAGCTCGTTCGAACGCCTTCGCTCCGCGGGTAGCTGAGAGGCCCGGGAGAAAAGGCAGCTGTGTTTCCGCAAGGACCGGATCTGCTTCTGTACCTCATCGCCCAGCCGAAAGGAGTGAGGCTGCGGTGTTTTGATCAGCTGCAAAACCGAACGAGTGAACGCAACAAAGACCTCCGCTCATTCATAAAAGGGTACAATAATATACATAAATAACTTATACTTATAATCTATTTTATTTTATTGTAATACTATATAATATGATAATCAATAATAGTAAGAAGCAACGCCTGTTGGTATCCACAGAATTGCTCACCATGCCAAGTTGCATCTGCCGGGTTGAGTGGCTCGCCCTGAAACAAGCCTGAGTGACAGTGCTTGTTTGTTCGCTTGGCACAAAAGGAGCCTGTCCCTATCATAGGTTGGAAGATCTAGGAGATCTACTCCCCAAAGTGACTCCAATGTAAATGCATACCCATGTCGAAATGCAGGGGGCCTAAAGGTGATTTTATAGATATGACACGTCTTAGACACGAGGACCCCCCTCATTTTATAGAGGAATTGGTCACGGGTATGTAAACGCCGTCCAGTTTTCCACAAGATGCTCGAGGGGTGTTGACTCGTTGATCTTTCAACTGCATCATCTGAGCAGGAAGGGGTGTTGGAAAGCAGGAAGGGGTGGCCTTTTAGATCTGAGAGGCGCGCATCAGAGACATGCCCAGCATATCCTCTTCATTGTATCAGTGAGATGTTTGAAGTCATTCAGATGTTTGCAGTTGAGGGAAAAACCTTGAAGCACCCAATGACCTTGAGAGAAAGTAAATAGCTAACTTCCGAAAGTGGGTAAAGTAAATAGCTTCACCTGGTGATGCAAGGCCTGCCCAAGACCTTGAAATAGCATGAAATAGCATCACCAAGTCGTGGCTCTCATCGATGCTGGGGAAGTGGATTGTGCAGTAAGGACACTCATGAGGCGGCTGGTCTCCGGACGGAACAACTCCAATCAGGCATAAGACCAACCACATCAAACCACCTTGATCGTTTCTGATGGCCCAACTCTAAGTCCTTCAGTATCATTATTGATGAAACAAGTCGATGGGCCAGCTACAACACCATCCCCTATGGTCCCGTCCCTTGTGGTCCCCTGTCTTTCCCTCCATGCTGCGCATCAAATCCAGCTCGACTGCCTTTAGCATGCTGGCATAGTCTGCCACCGTCGATTTGCATCCTAGGAAGCAGATGTTTTTCGCATCGCCCCGAGCGTCGCGGTGGTTCCGCAAAAGGGACTGTGAGTTCACTCAGAGGGCTGGGCTTGCCGGCAGAAAGTGCATGCGCAAAAACAAAGGTGACCTATTCCGAATGTATTCTTCATGATTCATGTTCTTCTATGATGTTCCATCAACAGTCGAAACATCACATACCTCTTACATTCCATGTAAATATCATAAAATCGATTCAAAGTTCTATTCAAATCCATCACGGATTCTCACGGACCCGACTCACGGATCCGCACCCCCAAGGCTACCCTCTCCGAGGCGCGATCTTGGCCAGGCGCGTACCTCGTCGCACCAGCCCCCCACGGGGCGAGACGGTCGTCGACGGTCGCACCGCAGCACCCGGTGGGTCGAACGGGAGTCACATCAACTTCGCATGTGGGTCGAACGGGTTATACCGGTCTGGGTGGGTCTGGTGAGTTCCCATGGGAACTCCGGTGTGCTCCACCAGTCACATCCGATCCAAACACCTGACCATCCCACTCTGCGAGGTGCCAATCGATCACATGAAGCGTCGTGGGGCCATCCTGGCATCGACGACTCTGAATGGGTGGAGTTGTTCGAAAGGGTGGCTGAGTCCTGCCATCTCTGTTGGGAGGGCCATTTCCTCATTCCCTACTTGCAAGTGGCACCCTGCAGATGTGATGAAAGACTACAGTAGTAGGACAGTGTAGGACTGAAAAGCTTGTGGGCCTGAACACTCTTCCACAAGCTTAGAGCACAAAGACCGTGAATGTGATCGACAGAATCTTCTTGTTTGGGGTCTGGATCAACAGAGAGTCTTAAACCCTACTAACTCATACTAACTCATCAAGTATGTAAAGATCATGTAAAGCCCAACAGCTAGACATCACCAAACTCTGTGCAGCGAGAAGTATGGGTGTATCGTATGCAGGTACATCCTATGTTTCATGTTGTTTGCTCATGGGGTTGTTGGGAAGGTGGCTCCTGTTCCTCTATCTGTTTTGTATTTCTTTTGAGGCATGAAGTATTGGAAGAGCACCATGAATAACTCCTTGATTGCATCAAGAACTTGACAGGTGCCCATCATGTAGACGGTTGATCCAGCCCCGATGGGGAAGAACGCCAGTTGCCAATCTCCTCTCCCCCCGACCTCAGCCGACGGAGAGGAGCAAGCTGTGGCATTTCCAGGATCCTTCACTGTACCTCAGCTTGGAGCTGGACCAGGAACTGGGAAAAGCAACTTACCAGCACATGTGTTTCAGGTTATATAGGGGGATTGAATGGGACTTCCAACCAATGCGGAACATCCACTCAACCTGAAGCAAAACCCAAGTCGTCAGCGGTCACGCGATCTATCCGGAGGAGCGGAGCGAGGACGAGGAGGAGCGGAGCGAGGCGAGGACCGTGCAGACCAGCGGCAAGTTTGAAGATCTGGAAATCCTAGGGCTGCCAGGCAGGGCAGTGTCCCTAGACCTCCAAGTACCTTCGTTTCGAAGGGGTTTGGGGTGGGTGCCAGGAGGGTCCAGTCATACCTTCTGAGGAGGTACTTGGAGGTGTAGGGTGTGAGACTCTGAGTTCATTGCTATACTTGCCTCTGGGGGCATGATGACATAATTGTTCAACATGCGCATTTATTCTTCAACCTCCAAACAGGATGAAGCAGAAAAGATCTCAGGCAGCTCAAGTACCCTCTATAAGCCCTAAGTCTGTCTGAGCAGCCACCACCATCAGACTCGACTACAACACCTTGAGACTTTTGACCTCTCACCCCTTCTCCGCCGCCCGAGCATCCTCCCGCCGCGCTGGAGCGAATGTCACATTGCCTTCCGTCCGATCGACGTGACGGCGAACGCGAAAGTCGAAGTTTCCCAAAAAGAGAGGTGTCCTTCCATGAAATCCTCCGTTTTGTGAATGAAGATGTTTCTCCACCTTGACCATCCTTGATCATCCTTACGCAAAATACAAAACATCCAAGGCATGCGTTTTTCGGCCTGGCCATCGGTTCGAACCTCGATTCTTTCATGTCCTGCTCCCACGCCTGAACTCGCCGAGAGCTACACGAACCCCATGGCGCCGCAAGAGGCAAAACCTGAGGAGGCGGGCTTCAGACCCCAACGATTTCAAGCACAACACGTACAACGTTCATTGAACAGTCTGATTTTCCAAGACCTTAAGGGATCAAATGAAGTGGAAGCCTTTACAAACCACTTTGCAGTGAAAAACAATTACAAACGTGTATATAGAATACTGCGGAGACTTTGATAGACAAAATAGACTTTGGCATCATCAGAATCATCACTGGAGTGGTCGCCCTAATGGCTCCTTCGCACAAAAAGGCGTTAGAAACCAATACCTCAAAATGCACAAAAAGTCTCCAAACGTCGTAGCCTCTTTGGTCAACTTGAGGAGTCCAAATCAGTCCGAAAAGAACACAGTGATAGTTAACTTGTTGAGTGCCACATAACTCATGGAGTGCCAACCGAGCCACATGCGAGACAAAGCGTCTCTAACTCGATAAATCTCTCTATACACACCTGGGTCTTCAGTGGAAGTTTGCCCGGGACACGGTGATGGAAGGTGGGCGAGCCAAGTGATTAGATCGACCAACTCCCAATGGAAGGCGGTTTTCTGTGGAACTCAAAGCTACAGTACAGCGAGTACAGTACCGCCATGTGCTTGGAAACAGGGGAAAACCATGTGGTCCCTTGTTGATCTTTGGTGGTATTACGAGGGAATTTGCATCGACTGCTTGTGATGCTCAGAGTCCAAGTGCCTTGACATCACAACAAACTCTTGTGGATGCTTAGTTTGTGGCGGCCATGCTATTTCTTCCTTCAGAGATGTTTGGAGAGCAAGTGTTACTTTGATCTGAGGGCCAAAGCTCACTTTGTGGCACTCAATGGGGCTGTATTGTGGTAGCCCAACCTAAATGTTTCATGGCCGCCATATAGTAACTACAAAGAAGTATCGTCCTGAGTCCTTTACTGTATACTGCACATAGCAAATCATAAATATACCTCGACCTATATCTACCAGCCTATATCTATATCTTATCCACCTCATATTGAGATCCTCACCCTGGCTCCCACACCCTTTGGCCCGGGCTCTGGCCATCTCTCCACCTGACTCTCCACCCCGGGCTCAGCTGAGAAAATCGTTCGACAAGATCCAGCGACCAAGTTGCATCGCTGAAAATTCTGGGCGATCTCCGACTCATTGCGGCCAGCCTACGTCCGTGTGCCGTGGGAAAGTGCCTGCTGAGTAGCATAGCATCAACGAACTAGGTGTATACATACAATATCACGGCTAGCGCTAACCCCAGAAGCAAGTGAAGTCAAACAAGAAGTGCACATATTAGATGTTCTTCTTAGAAAGTGAAACCAAAAGTGTGGGTGGAAACCCTTCCCCTCATACTACGGAGGAGCGACAATCATAGGAAACATATGGAACATGTTTTTGAGGTACCCAGCATCTCCCTTGTTCAACAGGACAATGATCATATAATATTATATATGTATATATATATATAAATTAATATAATAGATATGTGTCCACTGACTGGTTTGGGGTTGTTGGGATTCTTGAGAATTTATGGAGTGGGTCGAATTTGGGGAATCCAGAACCTCACATGGTATTGAAACTTGAAGCGGGAAGACTTTGATGAAGAAGTTATATAATACATGTTGGCATTGTTGAGCTGGTTCTGAGCGTGGAGATGTCTTTTGGTCCGGCTCCATGACTTTGGAAGCATAATATTTAGAATCACTCGGAAGTGTATCGTTGATCCTTCCGATAGACAGCTGAAGCTGGATGAGAGGGTCTCCAGATGCCCTTGGATTTTTCTGCCTTTTATGATGTCTTACAACCTCCAACTCTTCAGTGGAGCGCACCAGAACATACCAGAACTCACTGCCCCCTCAGACCTATCCCTCACCCGCTCTCACCCGCAGCGCTCAGCGACCTGGGTGAGGCTCGCCTGGTGCTGTACATGAAAATAGTCCTCTGCCTCGCGCACTGGCACGCGGTAGGCGGTGTAGCCCGACTTGGCGTGCATGATCCATTCGGCACCTGACCGGAGACGGCCGAATTTCAGGCCCCGGCACGACGGGCCTGACCGGGATGAACACCGAAAACGCGCCAGGGGGACAGTTGGAGAAGATGCGGTGTGGCACCGTACCCCAAACGGGACATCGCATACTAGTTGCATCCGGCCTCGTCGTGGTGACATGGGGTCGATTAACACCCCTATCTCGGGAGTGACTCCGTTCCTCCCGGTGTGTTCGTTTCTGCGGTCGTTGGGCCGCAGAAACATTGGACGAACACAAATGCTCCGCAGTACCCTGACGTCCAAAACAAACTCGATTGTGCGGGGAATGAGTTTGCAGAAACAACATACCCAGTGGTTGCAGTCAAAATGCCAAAGCAATCGTGCACTCCCATCTTACTCGTGCACTGAGGACTGCAATATCTGGGGGGAGCTCCATACATGTAATTAGACTCCTATTCAACAAAATTCACATACATTCACCACATAATCCAAACGGGGAGGTTATTCATCCAGAGTCAAGAGTCTGCCTGCGCTCCTTTTGCTTGGCCGCCCTTTCCCCGCCAAACACCACCACCATGCCATGCCACCGTCCCGTGCACCAGCGAGGTTGAACTCCCCGCCGAGGCGTGCGAGGCCTAGCTGTGTGAGTTCGTCCCTGAACCCCTGTGGCCCTGTGGCCCATGGGGGTTCTGATCATAGCCTCTGAAAGAGAAGGGGTCCACCGGCCCTAAGAAAACAATACACAATACACACATCAACCTCCCACCTACCGGTCCTGAAATGTCACAAATTCAGTCTGCAGAGTCTTGCGGACGGATGGGATGGAAAACCTCAGCACCCCTGGGATGGGCCGCATCAAATGACACTCCCTAGGGCTCCTGTCCCATATCCTCAGGTTCGGTGGTGAGACCCCCCTGGCACCCACCCCAACCACCTTCTCAGGAGGTGGTTGGAGCCTAGGGACTATAGATATGCGTTTGGGTCCGAAGATGCCGCATTTCAACCGCCCCTTCAGTTGGAGGGATCAGGAAACTGGCGACGAAACTGGCGCCAACTGGCTCATGTGATGGGTGGAAACGGTGCTTGAAGTAAATGACGCTGACTTCAATGGAAGTCAATGGTGTTGGATGGTGTTGGCCATACTATTGCATATATCATCCCTGGGCCCACATGGGTGCAACGAACAAACTTCGTTCGCATGAAAGAAAACGTATTTCGGAGGAATGAAAGGACTGCGTTTCTGTGGCACAGACATCAGGACTGGACTGTGCCGCATGTCTCAATTGTGTTTAGAGGTTGTAATTATAACCGTGTCCATGCCCAAATGCTCCAGATGGCATACAAGACTCGTGGGTCTTTAAGGTGAATCTATAGGCCATATTGGCGCCACCATGGGATGCGGCATCCCAGCCCACCCGAAACCCCCGTCCTCGGTAGGGACCGGTGAGGTGAGGACCACGTCCGAAGAAGGTCTGGCGGCGAAAGGGAGCAAGGAGAGTCGGACATGTCTTCGGCTGACAGTACTGAGTTTGCTTGCTTGTGCTGTGTTTGTTTAAACATGTAATGACGAAGGAGTCCGACACGACTGCTGACACGACTGAGTTTCTACATGTCGACCACCAGTCTCCAAGTCGTCCTGCTTCCAATGCTGTTCCCGTCCAGCTCGGCTTCCACTCGTTTTTTCGGCTGCCAAAGCCACCGCGCCTGGCCCGGGGCTAAATCTCCGTGCTTCACCTCCAGCAGTGCGCCACCCTCGTTGCGGCGCTGCATGATGGGCGCGATGACCAGGTTGTAGTCCTCGTCCAGTATCCTTGGACGAAGCACAGGCACCAGCAAAGTCCTAAATGGAAGACCCTATGGCTCCAACCACCTCCTGAGAAGGTGGTTGGGGTGGGTGCCAGGGGGGTCTAACCACCGAACCTGAGGATATGGGACAGGAGCCCCAGGGATTATTGAAGGATGTGGAAGGAACAAAGTGTTTGTTGCTATGCCCCGAAGAAGAACATGGAAGGAACTTTTAGCTCAGGGTGTTTCTGAATATCCCCCAGATCTGGCTCACTGGCCAACCTTGGTGACGTCATCTGGAGTCCATTGAAGACCTGTACTTCTAACACACTTGAAATCTCCCCACCCACCCTGTCAGTGTCATTGATTTCGACCGTTTAAGACCAGAAATTCGGCACACCATATACCAAGCGAAGCCAAACATGCTGTTGGTCTATGTCTATGTCCTTACTCAACAGTGCTTTGGAGGGCCGCTCCAAATTCCATGCCACACCGCTTCTGGTCTTCAATTCCCACACCACGCTTCCGCGTCTGGTCTGCCAACGAGGCGCCAAAGGAAGTTGCCATCCTGTGATCCCCGGTCACGCGGCCAGAGTTTCAGCAAAGATGGCAAAAGATCAGGCACACTAGGGAGCCTGGGCAGAGGAAGAAGCCTCAAAAAGGACATGGGTCTATCCACGTAGCGGATAGAAAGCTCTAAGTTCCCAAGGCTCAAACACATCTCGCAACACAACCCATCTCGTCTGGTTCCCAGGGCAAAAGGGACGAGATCTAGACTGTGGGGAGCCAGTTTGGAAAGTCCCCCGTGTTTGGACACCCTCAATACGTAGAAACTAAGGAGTCGGCAATGCTTGGGTGCCAAGGGGCATTTATGGAAGATTCACGCTGGACCCGGCCACCACTCGAAATGATGGTTCATGGTTGATTCATAAATATAGCTTTTATACGTTCCACAACTAAGGCACTATGGACTATGGATGCTACATTATAGGGGGATCCATGCATCATACTGCATGCACCCACTCAAATCACCTGCTGGCTGGTGCATGTGGGGGCCATGTCTGACCACTGCATTTGCACAGCTTGGACCCAAGGGGACTAGAGGATTCCAAAGGCACCACATGTGACCATCCACACCATCCAAACAGCGCCGAACATGTAGAGAACTCCCACTCATGCAGGTTTGATGTTCCAAAGCACTCCATGTCCAACATACCTCCCCGAAGATTTGACTATCAACTCACGATGTCCAACATACCAATGGAAATACCTGGTAATTCCTCGTCGTAGTCCAGTTTGAGCCTCTGTGTTTGCACTTTGTGCTCTTTGCCTGGTCTTGGAAAAACTCAATAAAACCCACCTTGGTGAGCCTGTCATCGTCCCCAAGCCTGTTATCGCTGCAACGAATGGTTTGGGCAACCGACGAGCTCCACACCCTCGAGCTCCAAACCCTTCGTGTGCCCGGGGAGTCTGACACAGAACCAGGGCCCTGCTGAAGGCGTCCCAGCAGCTGCAGCATGGGGCCACCTGTCAGGGCCGACAGGAGCCTTCCGAATCGCGTGCCCAACTCGGGAGGCTCCAAAGGAAGAACCCGGTCACAAAACCCAAAGAAAAACTGGAAGATCTTTATCTGTGCAGCGTTTGAGTCTGTCAAACTGAGGCTGGGTTTTTCAGAGCTACATCCAAATGGTGAGATAGAATTGCAAGATCAATCTGGCTCTGGTCGGAAAACATGTATCAAACCCATCTATCAAACACCTGGCTGCTTTATGGAAGATCTGAACGGCTTTCCACCGAACCGTAGCTTGAACAACCAACGACACCGAACCGTGGTCGAGACCGAACCGCGGATCGTTTCAGTGGAAAAAAAAAGGGGTCTTCCGGCGCAAAACCGAAGCGATCAACCGATCTTCTGAGGATGACATCCGTTGCTCAACGCAGTCATGACATGACATGACGATCCAGATTCTGATCCTTGCCGCCAAAGTAAACATATATACAAGATCAGAAACCACTCTTCGCGCAAGCATCATGCAATATGCATCTTGCATCTGATACTTTCATATATGATCATATATGTAGTTTCTGCATATACTCTGCATGTACAGGACGGTCATTCATTTCAGGAATGCCTTTCCCCTCACCGCACCGAACGTCTTGTGTCCGCTTGTGTCGCGTCTCACCTCGCTGCCACACGAAGACCTTGCCAGAGGCGCAGATCGCCATGCGCTCTGCGGGCAGCGCGTAAGGCCCGTGCCATTGGCCCCAATTCACCGCGGTCACCTGGTCTCGCGGCGCCCGCGGCGCTCCGAATGGATCGGGTCCACGGTCCACGGCAGTTTTGGTTCCTGTCCTTTGACCAAGCTCATTGAGAGCAGTGCAAGTATTGCACATATGTCATATGCCATATGAGGTACGTTGCAAAGTGATGAGGTGCGGCCATTATTGCGTTGTCATCATTTGTGAGCCGCTCTTATGCCACCATCATCGCACATGTTGAAGGCATTTCATATGGTCAAAACGCACCAGGATACCTTGGTTGACCTAGCTCGTGTCGGTCGTTCGCTACATGGTGGACATGGTAGACATCCAGATCTCGCCATGAGATGAAGGCTAAATGGAAAAAAAATAAAACACGACATTTAAAAAGAACCATCCTAAAGTATGAGTCTTAGAATAGGTGTTTGATTTCCCTGTGCTACGTACCCAACACACCCCAACACCGTTTTGCCCATGCAATGATCACCTGGGCCGTTTTCCAAAACGCCGCCGTCCACGCCGCGCCTCGGGGAGGCCCAGCTGATGAAACTCCTGGGCGTTCAGGACGGTGTCCGGTGCCACGAGGAGAAGAAACCTTGATCTCCATCGATTTGTCTCAGCTGTTAGCTTTTCATTAGCTAATTCGTGTCCTGTCATGCGGTTTTACAGGAACCATTCCCTCATGAAAGCAAACTGTCACTAAAGACTTATTGCGTCTGGTTGAAACTCAACCGCGGCTGCCATCCCGTTCAAAGCAACCTCCGACCCGACCACACCTCCTCTGGCATGCCGCAAACCGCGCGCACGTCCGTGGGCCTTGCAGAAAAGCATGTACATGTTGCAGAAAAACTGGAAAATTTATCCAACAACTGCGTTAAGAGGCACACAATCCTTGTCCGCTTTGGGACGTGGTGTAATTTGCACACCATGTAGAATTCTGTGTCGATGTTCATTCAGAAAAAACACGCATCTCGAAGACTCCCAGTCTCCCAGTCTGTTTGATACTCTAGAGGTTGTGGTGTTCCCGCTTCCTCTGAACTTCAAGACACGCACAGACACGCTCTCTGTTCTTTTCTCCGATCAAATGCCGGATGTCCTGGCAAAACCTGGTGCCTGAGCATTGGTGGCCACAACACTACTGTAGAGTTGAGACTCCAACGATGAGATCTGGATGGATAGGCCATGAGATCTAGGTGTTGGGAACATGTCGGAAACATGGAACATCATACGGTGTTTCCATTGGTCAAAACATAAAACAAACAACACCAAACAAAAAACTAAGTATCTGAATTATAGACAAACACACATGTTGTTCGCTTGTCATGTGTCCATCCACAAGATCATGGTCCATCGGAACTGCTCCATGTGCCATCTTCTTCCAATTCAACAAGCAAAACATGAACACAGTTCCCCACATCATCTTCAATGATAGTGTTCATGTTCAACCATACCGTCTCAAAGTGATTGTCACAGGTTTTGCCAGCGGTGCTTGGCTCAGTTGCTTGGCTCAGTTGCTAGCCCCGCGGTGTGAAACATCGGAAAGCGATTTGGACTGATTTGAGTCCTGCCTGATGGTCTTCCCAACCCATCCCGCACTGAACACATCCAGTCCGCATGAAGGCAGTTCTTCTCTTCAGTCCAAAGGGATGAACTGCAGGCAAGTTGTGTTCTCTTTTCTCACTTTCACGCCTAGCCAACTCACGTCCGCTTGGCTTGGATTTGCTCATCACCAGGAAAAAGGTCGAACAAATCACCTGTTTCAGGTGCACTCCATCGAAGCAAGAAACCGCATGACATGTTTGAACACCTGACATCACATCCTATTTTGAACATGACTTGAACATCCCAGTTGCGAAGAAAACACACCATGCAAAAGAAAGAAACAACACACACACACAAAACATCACAAAACAACTCTAGCACAAAAAGGAAACAACAAACGGAAACAACAGCAGTCTCAGGTCGTTCGCGTCTGTCGCCTCAGGCTTCCTTCTCCATCGTGCCGTGCGAGGCCTTAAGATCCTCGCGCAACAACGCCGCCTCGCTCCGCGTCGAAGATCCCCGCGGCGCAGTCTCCGGGACCCAACTGGTGCACCTGTGCTTGACTGAGGGCGGAGGCTCCTTCCCCTGTGCAGTACGTGTGGGGCAGCTTTTTGGGGGGTCGGTGTTTGGGAGGGTTAATAAGCTATAAGTAAGAGCTTGGAAGGTCGATTGTGAGACTTGTATAGTGTTTCGAGATGTTCTGAGCAACAGCTCTGTTTCCTGATTCATTTTGTGGGTCGCGTGAATGCTATTGGATTTTGAATGATTTTGAAGACACAACAGTCCACAAGCTTGCAAGAGGCAAACAACCCTCATGGGCGTTGGGTGCCTGGGCTGTTTGATTCAACAGTGAGCAGCTCATTTTGTCTGTCCTGGTTGGCAGCTGGGGGCCTTTTCTGGGCTGGTTGGCACTAGTGACACTAGTGATCCCACTTATTCAGCATTGGCTCATCCCCCAGCACAAGGAAAAAGTCGACATCCCAAGTTGCCACGGTCGTTTTTTGGGATGCTTGCTGATCCCATATTGGGATCTTGATCTATTATATAACGACTAATCGAGAACGGAACGGTCGCAATTGCAAGCTGTGAAAAAAACCTCTTTCTGTGTAGGTGACAACAAGGAAACGGTATCTTTTTACGGTTGTGTTAGACTGATCAGCGGATCTTGAGATCTGTCCACCGCATTCCGGTGAGATCAGCAAGGCTACGGCGGCCCTCCGATGTGCCCCAGCTCTTCCAACCTTCCCTATGGATCCACATACCCTCTGAGAAGGTGATTGGAAACACCTTTATGTAGACTTTGAGTGTCCAAATACTTCCTGAGAAGGTGTTTGGATCCCTAGGGTTTTGGCACTTTCGAAACTGCATGGACATCTGTCCAACCAGCCGGTTCTTGGAATGAAAGCCTTCTTGAAGCTGCAAAAAAGACTCTTAAGTACCAAACGACCTGTTAAAACACCCAGAAACACATAGAGCATCGAATCCGCTCAGGTTGCCCCTCTCAAATTGACTGGGCGCGCAAAGCATGCGAGCATCAAGAAGGCCGAGGTGTAGAAGAAAGCCAAGTACGTGTGGAAGGAATTCGTCAAAGCCTCCTGAGGTATATAGGCGATGGACGATGGACGCCGTCAAAATAATCTTGAGCACGCAACAAGTGATTGAACAACATGGAAATGGTGGCCACAACGTTAAGCTTTTCAGTTTTGGGGCTTGGATACGGCACCCTGGAGCTTCCAGCGCAAATGCTGCGAAAGGTTTGCCAGTCAAAATGCAAATCCCATATTATATGATCGAAATGAGTGTTTGGTGGTATTAACTCACGAACAACAACTATGAATCAGTGGGTTCATGTCCTATAAACAAGTTAAACAAAAAACAAATAAAACACAACCTGAAACCACCCAAATAGCTCTACTTAGTACCATCATGTACCATCTAAAATAGCACCTAGGATTCCATGTCTCAACGCCCAGCACCACCACCGGAACCCTTCGTCCGCCATGGCGCGTAGACGACCGGCGCCAGCGAGGCGCCCAGGCGCCCCACGCCCAGCACCACGGCGGTGCCCGTGGCGCGCACCGGCGCGGCGAAGGATTCGGCGATGAGGACGAAGAGGGCGATGGAGCCCGTCTGGGGGAAGAACTTACAACCTGGAGAAACGACGACATGGACGAACGGATGACCATGTTGGACACGGATGACCGTGATGCAAGATACAGAAAAAGAAAGGAACAACAACACACACTTGACCTGAGCTGCTCTGAAAACCTGCAGTAACTGCAGTATGTCGTATCAATTTGCAAACCTGCTGGAGCTTAGCGCCATCCTTACGCAAACCAGAAACAACCTTGCATAGTTCATCCTCCTAAGTCACAAACAAGAAAAACAAAAACACGTGTAACAGCTCCAATGTGGGTGCTTGCCTTTTCAATCCTGGACTCAGAAAGAAAAGAATGGAGCTTACGCAAGTGCTTCAGCAACATCATATCCCCAAAATGCTTACGCAACCTTACGAAACTCATGGTTTTTGCTTACGCGGGGGCTTGATATGACAAGACCTTGACTAAACACATAAATAAAGCAAGGTTATTCGAGTTCCTCACCTGAGGAATGGTTGTTTTGGGGGGGCATTTCTCGCCAAGCAGTTGGTCTAGCCAGTAGCCAACGGGAGAAATGCATGCATCATACACGACAAAATAGTATTCAATTATAGTATAAGTACAGTTGATTCTACAGAACAAACTGCAGCACTTGCCCACGCTCAATTTATCAGGGTCAACTACCATCACTGGGCGACCATATCAACTGATCACAAGCCACCTCTAGGGCACTTGCTCATTTAGTTATTGCTTGATGAGACAAAACCCTCAACTTGTTGAATTCCCATCTATCACAGCTCTCGGCCCGTCGGCCGTCCTACTAGTTGTTCGCGTTAGCTCCCAAATCATTGTACCCAACACGCCCCCCTTAGATTATGCCCTGCCTTAGATGATGCAACAACTTGTGCCATCTCAAACTCTGAGGCTTTGTTCGTCCCCCAAGCATTTGAGCCTCCAACCAAGCTTGCCAAACACTCACCATTCAATATGTTCAAACCCGTCTAGCATACGTAGTAGCATACTGGTCTCAGGTGTTCCCACGTGTGTCCTCCCTGGGTCTCATGGCGCCTCTCCAGGCCAGAATCCTCGTAGACTCCATGAACTTCTAGTGGTCAGACCACGGTCCCCTTCTCGGGTGCCCAACAAAAACGGCAAACACCCCCTGGTGGCGTTGACTGATCCCGAAAAACGATGAACAATGTTGTTCCTGGTGTGACTCAAGTGACACGGTGACGTGTTCGGAGTGCTCTGAATGTTCTGAAAAGGATCAGTGAAAGTGTTCGATTGGTGTTCCATTCCAAAAGTTGCCAAACTCATCAAAGGCATACTCCCGGCCTCCCGCCCCCTCAAGCACTTTTCCTTCCATCCATTTCCATGCCCGCCACTTCTCAGGGTGCTCCATGGTACGTGGGTCTAATGGTGCCAAGTCGCCGTAGTACCCTGCAAGCATGAACTCCTCCCTGGGACTTGAGAACCTCCAAGCTCCGCTCGCGTTCGGCTCGCATTGGGTCGACCCGTGTGGTCCAGAGACCGTCTGGTGGCAGCGTGGTGGGTGAGAAACCATGCCCAAACACGACCTGTCTGGGACTGCCAGTCCGGACTGCCTCCCAACTGATCGGCATATATGGCAGTCCCAAAATGTCCCAGACGTGTCGTGTCTGGGCATGGTTCGGAGGGGAGCCATGTGTCGGTTTTCTGCTGAATTAAGAAGTGGAGGCCACTCTTCAGTGGCCACTGTCGCCATTAATAGATCAATTCAACCACAAAACAACACCGCAAACGATTCCTTTTGGAACGACTCCGACTCTGATAACTCCAGCCGGTGGTGTTTTTTCTCGCAGCCAGTGTTTTGGAGTGTTTGGGCGTCTTTTGGTGATTTCGATCCTTAGACCCCCTGTGGACGGTGGATGCCTTGGATCATAACTCCTGAAATCCCAAACACGACCCACCCGAACCATGCCCAGACACTCCATGCGACTGCCATATATGCCGATCAGTTGGGGTGGTTGACTGGGGGTCTTTCTGGGGCGGCAGTCCTAGGGCAGTCCCATGGGCCGTGTCTGGTTGAAAGGAGGACCACGCAGGAACACTCGTTTGGACGAGCTGGCGGCCAGTGGTGCGTTGAGCACTCTTGCGACGTTCCAGGCCGGTGCGGCGGCAACGCTACTCCCAGTG